ATTTAGAATATTTCTTCCTTTAATACCTCTCCCGAAAAATTAAGTTTTATGGGAGATTTTGCCTCGGATTGGAAACGTATAAAATTAACAATAAAATCAAGTAAAATAGTATCAGTCGGGGTTGCCGACAGTTGTATACCCTTAGCTAATGTTCGATTATATAAATACATTTTGACTTCTGTTATGATTATTCAAATTGTTGACCCTCTATGGAGCTGGGTCCGAAGGAATGGACCAATATTGTCCATTTCGTATTTCCTTCACTTCATATGAGATATGTAATCATTTTTAGAAAAATATGCTCGACTCGATCAAAGAATTCCATTTTCATACATCATCTAATACCGTTAAAAATATTGGTAACATGAACCCTATGTGGGGGAGGTACCAGAAGAAATTGTCTGATCTCTTCCATCTTTATTACAGATTTTTTGTTGATGGAAATATCGAGATGTACCAGGCCTGAATGGAATCGATTGTTAATTTCACGTTTTATGAGCTTCATGGATATTCAAAAAATGTTGACCATTTATGGGGGAGGTACCAGAAGGGGTCGACCTATATATCCCATGTTCACAGCAGATTTTGTGTTAGCACAAATAATGGGATGTTTGAAATATGAAGGGAACCGTATATTTATTTCGGTTTTTATAATCGTTTTGGTTATTCCAAATTTTGTCCAATTTGTGGGGGAGGTACCAGGAGGAATGAAAGTGGTGACAATTTGATCCTCTTTACGAGAAATTGTTTTTTTATTACCGGTTATTTCCTAGTTACGCCTCCCAAATAATCAACTAAATAAGTGATCTTTTAACAAATGTAGGTCCCAGATGCTATTTATAACTTCTTTGACATCTGCCTAACCCCATAATAATTGATAACGGATTTTGTGCTTATCTCATCATTTCAAATAAAATAGAGTCAAATAAAATTTGTCATAATTAATTGTTCAAATTTCTGAAAAGACACATTGCTCACCGACGGAGCCAGTTCTAAATATTTTGGGCAAACCAAAAAAAAAAAAAAAATCAGTAACGAAAATAAAAAATTCGGGCGGGGCTGACTATTTGATACCCTACACCACTATGCATATTTATTACGGCTCCCTTAACAAAAGAATTCAGGTATTAGAGCAGATACAGTTAGGATTCAGAGGGAATTAATGTTTGGAAGGCATATATAATTGTGAATGGATGTCCACCAAAATTTGACTGAGGCATTTTAATCTTTTATACCATGCTATAGAGTGCATGATATCACTTCGAGAAGGATTATATTAAACAAGTAAAGAAGCTGTAAGTTCGGCCGGGCCGAACTTTTAATACCCTCCACCATTTGGTACAAATTTGGCAATTTCCAAAAAAAAAAAATAAATAAATAAATAAATAAATAAAAATAAAATAAAATCCGTTAAAAATTCTATTAAAATTTTAAAAATACCGAATGCCTATACGACGACGTGGACCTGCATAGGCAACTTTTGTCATAAGTTATTACAATATTTAATTGCGAAACTTGAAGAAAATTCTGTTTATAATGTAGCTAAAATCATCAAAATACCGAATATCGTGGGGTACCGTTATATGGGGGCTATACGAAGACATGGACCTGCACAGACAATGTTCTGGCATGGGCGAACTTCACATGCGAAGTTTGAAACAATCCCGTTAAATAATGTCGCTAAAATCATCAAAATTTCGAATATCGGGAGGCACCGTTATATGGGGGCTATACGAAGGCGTGGACCTACATGGCCCATTTTCTGTTTTATGCTGCAGTACCTATTATGAACTTCATATACCAAATTTGGAACGATTCCGTTAAATAATGTCGCTAAAATCATCAAAATACCGAATATCGGGGGGTACCGTTATATGGGGGCTATATAAAGACATGGACCTGCACAGATAGTTTTCTGTCTTAGGCTGTAGTATCCAATACGAACTTCAAATGCCAAATTTGAAACAATTCCGGTGAATAATGTCGCTAAAATCATCAAAATACCGAATATCGGGAGGTACTGTTATATGGGGGCTCTATGATAACTTGGACCTACATGGCCCATTTACGAACTTAACCTGCTTACTGGCAAAATATACATGTGTGCAAAATTTTAGCCTTCTATCTCAATTTGTTCGAAAGATAGCGTGATTACAACAGACAGACGGACAGACGGACAGACGGACATGGCTAAATCGTCTTAGAATTTTACGCTGATCAAGAAATTATATACTTTGTTGGGTCTGACATGAGTATTTCGAGGAGTTACAAACGGAATGACAAAATTAATATACCCTCCATAGTATGGTGGAGGGTATAAAAACTAGTTAAAAAGCTGTAAGTTAGGCCGGGCCGATCTTTGAAAACCCTCCACCATTTTCAAAAAAATAAAATCCGTTAAAAATTCTATGAAATTATTAAAAATACCGATCATAGGGAGGTATCATTATATGGGGGCTGTACCAAAACGTGGACCGGCACAGATAATTTTCTGTCATAGGCTGTAGTATCCATTGTGAACTTCAAATACCAAATTTGAAATAATTCCGTCAAATAATGTCGCTAAAATTATCAAAATACCGAATATCGGGGGTTCGGTTATATGGGGGCTATATGAAGGTGTGGACCTTCACGAACAATTTTCTGTCGTAGGCTGTAGTATCGATTATGAACTTGAAATACCAAATTTGAAACATTTCCGGTGAATAATGTCGCTTAAATCACTAAAATACCGAAAATAGGGAGGTATCATTATATGGGGGCTATACCAAAACGTGGACCTACATGGCCCATTTTCAATACTGAAAGTCCTGTAGACATAATATACATTTGAGTAAAATTTAATTAGTCTACTTTATTTCGTTTGGTAGCTAGAGTGATTTCCACAGACTGATAGACAGACGGAATTTTATGCTGACAGACAATTTTCTGTCTTAGGCTGTAGTATCCATTTCGAATTTCAAATACCAAATTTGAAACAATTCCGGTGAACTATGTGCCTAAAATAATCAAAATACCGAATATCGGGAGGTACCGTTATATGGGGGCTATACCAAAACGTGGCTCTACATTGCCCATTTTCCATACCAAAAGTCCTACAGACATAACATACATTTGTGTAAAATTCTATCAACCTACTTCATTTCATTCGGAAACTAGAGTGGTTTCCACAGATGGACAAAAGGATGGACATCTCTAAACAAATGTTTATGCTGATCAAGAATATATATACTTTGTGGGGTCTAAAATGTATATTTCGAAGTGTTACAAACGGAATGACGAACTTAATATACCCTCCATACTATGTATGGTGGAGGGTATAAAATATATATATCGGAGAAGAGTTTCACAAAATGAAAACGTACGTCCCGAAATTCACTCCATTTGGGATGATATTAACCATTATTTGCACAATAAACCTGAAATCGAATTAAAGGTATGTATGGGAGCTATATCCAAATCTTAGCCGATCTCGATAAAATTTGGCAAAGGTATTTTCGAGCTCTATAAAATATCTGGTACCAAAGATCATTGTTGTCGTATTCATATTACAAATGTGAGGGACTTAAAGACGAAGATCGGATGAAATATATTCCGGGTGGGATAAAAAAAGTGCAACAAAGTCAAACGCCCTAATTTTTAGATTTTTTTCTATTTTATTGAATGAGTACAAAAAATGTCGGAAATAGCATCAAATTTAAGAATAAGTTTAGATTTGTTCGAATTGGTCACCTTTGGCACGAATTATGGCCTTCAAACGGGCAATGAAATCGTCACACGCTGTCCGAATGTTGCTCTGCGGTATTTTGGCGCATTTCCGGCGAAACGCTTGCTTGAGGTGATCGACTCTTTGGTATTTTTTAGTGTCAAGATTGCTTTCGAAAATGCTTCAGACCCAATAGTCCAACGGATTAATATCCAGAGATTTTGGTGACCATTGTGCGCTGGAAATGAAGCGAGGAACCTAATTTTGTAACCATTCTTAGGTGGCTGGTGTGCTGAGTGCGATGGTGCTGAGTCCTGTTGGAATGTCCAATGCCTGCGGCCAAAATGTTTGCGTGCCCAAGGCTTTGATACACCCTCCAGAATATTTTCGTGATAATATTCGGCATTTATTCTGATGCCACGGTCGATTTATACGAGCAGAGAGCGATTATCGGCTGTTATGGAGGCCCACACCATAACCATGGCCGGCGCTTGAGTTCTGGTGACGAACCGAATGTGCACATTTTCAACTGACCTCTTGGGCAAGTAAACACGATCATTTTGTTTGTTTACAAACTGCTGGACAACGAATGTTTTCTCATCGGAGACGGAGAAACCCAAATTCGGCAGATCACCACTTTCGCCAAAGCTAAGTAACTCTTTAGCTCTTTTGAGTCTATTTTCTTCCTGTTGCGGTGTAAGTTCATGCACTTTTTGGAATTTCAATGGCTTTACCCCGAGCTCATTTTTCAATATTTGCCGAATGGAATATTGCCATATGTTCAGCTCACGAGCCATTTCAGCTCGTCGGCCACTGCTTCCGTTTTTGTTTTTCAAAATCTTGTACCCTATGTGGGGCAGGTAGCAAAAGAAATGGTCCGATCTCTATCATATTTATAACAGATCATGTGTTGATGGAAAAATTGAGATGTACCAGGTTTCGAATGGAATCGTATAATGATTTCGCTTTTTATGAGCTTCGTGGATATTCAAAATTTTGTGCCTTTGTGGGGGAGGTACTTGATAGAATATTCGGATTTGTTGGAGTTGGAGCAAAATCAGATTATGGTTTCTCTTTCTGTGCAGAAAATATATTTTTAGAAAATTTCGACATTTTGTAGTGGAGATACCAGAAGAAGTGGACCGATATTACCCATCTCCGAACTCGATCTAATTTTGACAAAAATATTACGATGTACCTAGTTTGGACCAAATTGGATACTCCCTTCACATTCGGGACAGATGGGCCAAGTTCACCACTTCCAATCAATACTTAAAGAAAAAAACATGCCTACCTTAGTAACTTGCCCAAGAGGGGCATCTCAATTGTGTTATTTTAAGTTTATAGGTTTTATGAGCTGCACATGCAGTTCAGAATGGTTTGGCACCTGCTTGAACTTTCGTTTTTGATAACAATATTTTTTTTTTGGAAATCTCATAGTTTGCAGAAAATACAAACAATTTAGTCGAAATGCATCTTCCGAAATTGCTATAAAATCTGTGAGTTCACACTTGCGAAGGTTAGTTAAGATTAGGTGTTTGAAAGAAATTTAATATCTTCGGAAACAAGGAGGAGTTCGTTAGTATGAAACTATTTTCGACGCTGCTGTTAGTGGTGGCCTGGCTGGCATTGGCGAGGGCCGCTGAGGATGTGCCAATGGATCACAAGACGATTAATGAAAAGCAACTCAAAATATTACGGAATTCTTTGGACACCAATTATCGACCCTGTGACGATTTCTATTCCTATGCATGTCAAAATTGGTCTGCTCAGCACCAAGGAGCTGGATATTATTACAGCGGAGTTCCAGAACAATTAGGCTATGAGGTCAACCTGGAATTGATGGAGTATTTGGAGAAGACACCCGAAACAGATATGCCTAGATTTGTGAAACTGTTTAAGGATTTCTATGTGGCCTGTAGAGAGAGTCCAGATTTTGAGTTTTCGGATTTTATGCATTGGATGGAGAAAGAGGAAAATATGAAATGGGCCTTACTCACACCCGACGATAGTAAGGATTTCGTCTTCGATTGGGCAACAATTGCGGCTGGTTTTCGCAAATATGGCTTCAATAATATTTTCCTAACAGAAACTACAGTTTATCACGATGTCAATAGGTTTCAAACATATCTGGATATGCCCGACTATAATGAAAGCTTTTATCGTTTAGAAGAAAATAAAATGAAGGAATACAACGCAATGATTTCTCTGCCTGGTGGAACAATGAATTTCGAGGAGCTATGGCAACTTCTTGGTCCATTTGAAGAGAAACTACTAAGACTTAAAGTCGAGGAACAGGAAGGGGAAAAAATTCTAAAATTCCATGAACTTCCCTATCCATGGATGCAGAATTATCTCAGGGCTTTGATGGCACCCCAGGTAATTGATCCCAATAAGAAAATAAGTATTGACAATATGGCCTACATGGAAGCTCTGAATAATTTACTGCAACAATACGATGCCAAATTCCTGGCTCGTTATGTGGAAATACGCTTCTTGCAAATTTCCCATAAATTGATCAAAAGTTCCTCGGAACATGTTCACATGTTTCTGACAAGAAGTCTACTGCCCATCGCTGCTGAATGGATCTATGAACAGCTGCATCCCGAATTGCGAGACGAGATACCGAAAATTGAACAAATGTTTGAAAATGTGATGAAGAATGTCAACAAATCTCTACACATGGATGAAGGTGGAATTATGCCCAAGGAGTTCTTTGAGCAACTGGAAAGCCTACACATGAAAGTGGGTTATTTACCCGAGGAAAATCCCAAGGATCTTTTGGAATCTTATTATGCCGATTTGCACTTGGATCCGAAAAATTATTATCACAATTATTTGAAAATTTTGGAATTCTATTACAAATTGGAGCGCAGCTACTTCGACTATGAGAACTTTGCCAAGGATAAGGAATTTTTCTACAAAACTCCAAAATATGCCTACAGTTCCGAAGTTACGCCGCTGTATGCTGTTTCGTTGAACCTTATGATTTTTCCCTTGGCCCTTTTCAGAGCACCCGTATATGATGCACGCTTTGAGGATATTTTCAAGCAAAGTTCCTTGGCCACCCTGATGGGTGTGAGCATGTTCGATGCCATTGCTAAAAGTGATGATATTCCCACTGAGCTCGTTCAACAAATATCGAGAACGATAAGTCTGTATGCCTCATATCAGGAATTTTTCTCATCCCTTACACCCGAAGATATCACACGCTATCAACAGGTGTTCGGCCTCCGTTCACTGCAGGAACTCAAACGGATGTTTTTCCTCAACGCATTCCACTACACATGCTATAGATATTCTTATGTTGCCAAGAAATTTGTAAATTTTGCTGTTACACATTTGTCAGATTTTGACGAGGCTTATGATTGTAAAGTGAATGAATATTTGAAAAAGTTTTGAAATCAATTGAGTTGTTGACAAAATAAATGAGAAATTAAAAAAAAAAAAAGAAACTGGTTCAAAAAGCAGCTCTTAAAAGGTGTTCATCTCTAGTTACCAAAAAAAAAAAAAAACAATTAAAAAAGATTTAAGTTCGGCTGGGCCGAACTTTGAATACCCTCCATCAGTTAGAACGAATTTGGCAATTCTCAAAAACAATAAAATCTGTTAAAAATTCTCCCGAATATCGGGAGGTACCGTTATATGGGGGCTATACGAAGACGTGGACCTACGCAGACAATTTTCTGTCTAAGACTGTAGTATCCATTACGAACTTCAAATACGAAATTTGAAACAATTCCGGTGAATAAATTCGCTAAAATCATCAAAATACCGAATATCTGGAGGTACCATTATATGGGGCTATACGAAGACGTGGACCTACGCAGACAATTTTCTGTCTAAGGCTGTAGTATCCATCTCGAACTTCGAATACCAAATTTGAAACAATTCAGGTGAAAAATTTCCCTGAAATCATTAAATTGCCGAATATCGGGAGTTACCGTTATATGAGAGCTATACGAAGACGTGGACCTGCATAGACAATTTTCTGTCTTAAGCTGTAGTATCCATTACGAACTTCAAATACGAAATTTGAAGCAATTCCGGTGAATAATGTCGCTAAAATCATCAAAATACCGAATATCGGGAGGTACCGTTATATGGGGGCTATACGAAGACGTGGACCTGTACAGACAATTTTCTGTCATAGGCTGTAGTATCCATTACGAACATCAAATGCGAAAATTGAAGCAATTCCGGTGAATAATGTCGCTAAAATCATCAAAATACCGAATATCGGGAGGTACCCTTATATGGGGGCTATACGAAGACGTAGATCTACGCAGACAATTTTCTGTCTAAGGCTGTAGTATCCATTACGAACTTCAAATACGAAATTTGAAACAATTCCGGTGAATAAATTCACTAAAAATATCAAAATACTGAATATCGGGAGGTTCCGTTATATGGAGGCTATACGAAGACGTGGACCTGTACAGACAATTTTCTGTCTTAGGCTGTAGTATCCATTACGAACTTCAAATACTAAATTTTAAAGAATTCCGGTGAATAATGTCGCTAAAATCATCAAAATACCGAATATTAGGAGGTACCCTTATATGGGGGATATACCAAAACGTCGACCTACATGGCCAATTGTTAATACCAAAAGTCCTGCAGACATAATACACATTTGAGTAAAATTTCAATTCGTTCGGAAGCTAGAGTGATTTCCACAGACGGATAGACGGACGGACATCGCTCAATCGACATAGAATTTTATGCTGATCAAGAATATATTTACTTTGTGGGGTCTAAAATGTATATTTCGAGATGTTATAAACGGAACGATAAATTTAATATACCCTCCATACTATGGTGGAGGGTATAAAAAAGAAATAAATGTAGTCGGGGAACAGGAAATTTAAATAATAATGACATTCTATGAACCCCATATCCATGGATGCAGAATTATCTCAAGGCTTTGATGGAAGCCCAGGTACTTGATTCCAATATGGAAATAAGTATTGAATTTATGAAAGCCCTGGATAATTTGCTGCCACAATTTGATGCTAAATTCCTGGCTCGCTATGGGGAAATTCGTTTCTTACAAATTACCCCTAAGATGATCAAAAGTCCTTCAGAACAGGTCCATATTTTCCTGAATATATAGGATATAAAAAACCGTGAAATGCCTCTGCCTAGTGGAACAATAAATTTCGAGAAGCTATGGCAATTTCTTAATCCATTTGAAGAGAAACTACGAAAAATTTAAGCCGAAAAAGAGGAAAAGATTTTAAAATCCCATAAACTTCTCTATTCATGGATGAAGAATTACGTCAAGGCTTGGATGAAACCTTATTAGGCTATTAATCCCAATATGGCAAGAAGTATTGACAATATAATACAATTATAACTTTCCAAGGGAACATTAAATTTCGTCAAAACTTGCAGCATCGTTATATTATTATCAAACTTAGATTGAGTTCAAAGGTGGATAATATCGGCCTACTTCTTCTCCTGATACCTACCCCACAAATGGGCAACATTTTCAAAGAAAATAATTAACATAGTTTGAGGTTTTCCAAATTTCGATGTGATAAGTACGTCGAATATTGGTGTGGTATGTCCCAAAGGAGCTATACATAATTAATAACCTAATTCTGAGGGTAAATCTGTAGTATATTTGTCGGTAAAACGACGGATTCCTTTTCATTTTTCTCGTTATACCCTCCACCTTGGAAAGGAGGATATATTAACTTTGTCATTCCGTTTGTTACATCCTTAAATACTCGTCGTAGACCCCATAAAGTATATATATATATTCATAATCAGCATAAAATTCTAAGTCGATTTAGCGATGTCCGTCTGTCTGCCTGTCTGTCCGTCTGTCTGTCTGTTGAAATCACGATACAGCCCACATTATTTGACGTAGAGCGCCAAAATTTAGCAGAGCTATTTGCATTGTGTCTAGGATGGTTGGTATTGAAAATGAGATATATCGGTCCACGTTCTGGTATAGTCTCCATATAACGGTACCTCCCGATATTCGGTATTTTGATGCTTTATGCCACATTTTTTCACGGATTTGTCTGGAAATTGGTATTTGTAGGTCATAACGGGTCCCTGAGCGTGTGGCAAAACATTGCATGTATAGGTCCACGTTGTGGTATAGCCCCCATATAAAAGTACCTCCCGATATTCGGAATTTTATTTTTTTTTGCCACATTTTTTCACTGATTTGTCTAAAAATTGGTATTTGTTGGTCATAATGGGTCCTAGTTCGTGTGGCGAAACATTGCATGTATGGGTCCATGATTTGGTATAGCCCCCATATAACGGTACCTCCCGATATTCGGCATTTTAATGGTTTTTGTCACATTTTTTTCACGGATTTGTCTTAAAATTGGTATTTGTGGGTCATAATGCGTCCTAGTTAGTGTGGCGAAACATTGTAATTATAAGGCCACGTTTTGGTGTAGCCCCCATATAACGGTACCTCCCGATATTCGGTATTTTAATGGTTTTTGCCACATTTCTTCTAATGTTTCTGTTACCCTAAGGTGGAGGGTATTAAAAGTTTGGCCCGGCCGAGCTTAATGTCTTTTTACTTGTTTTATTTCACATTTATCTGTTAAAGAAATTTTTTTTCAAAACATTTTCAAATAGTTATTCATTTTACAATCATAGGCTTCGGCAAAATCTGACAAATGCCCAACGGCAAAATTAACAAATTTTTTTGTGACATCAGAATACCTATAACATCTGTAGTGGATTGCGTTGAGAAAGAACATTCGTTTGAGTTCCCGAACTGAAGAGAAGCCAAAGACCTGTTGATAGCGTGCAATTTGATCGGTTGAAAGGGATGAGAAAAATACCCGAAAGGATGTATAAAGACTTATAACACCCGATATTTTTTCAACATATTCGTTGGGGAAATCCTCATTCGTAGCGATGGCATCGAACAAGCTCACACCCATAAGGGTGGCCAGTGAGCTTTGCTTGAAAATATCCTCAAAGCGGGCGTCATATTCGGGTGCTCTGAAAAGGGCCAGGGGAAAAATCAAAAGATTCAACTCATCCACATATATCGGCTTGACTTCGGTATTATAGGCATATTTTGGAGTTTTGTAGAAAAATTCCTTATCCTTGGCAAAGTTCGCATAGTCGAAGTACTTGTGTTCCAGTTTGTAATAGAATTCCAATATTTTCAAAAAATTGTGGTAATAATCGTTCGGTTTCATTTGCAAATCGGCATAATAAGAATCCAAAAGATTCTTGGTATTTTCTTGGGGCAGATAGCCCACTTTCATGCGCATGGTCTCCAGTTTGCTGAAGAATTCTTTGGGTATAATTCCGCTTTCATCCATGTGTAAAGATTTGTTGAGATTCTTCACCACATTTTCAAACATTTGTTCAATTTTCGGTATCTCGTCTCGCAAATCGGGATGCAGCTGTTCATAGATCCATTCGGCAGACATGGGCAATAGACTTCTTGCCAGGGACATGTGGACATGTTCCGAAGGACTTTTGATCAACATATGGGAGATTTGAAAGAAACGAATTTCCACATAGCGAGCCAGGAATTTGGCATCGTATTGTTGCAGCAAATTATCCAAGGCTTCCATGTAGGCCATATTGTCAATACTTATTTTCATATTGGGATCAACGACCTGGGTCTCCATCAAAGCCTTGAGATAATTCTGCATCCATGGATAGGGAAGTTCTTGGAATTTTAAAATTGTTGGCTGCTGCTGTTTTTCTGCTTTAATTTTTAGTAATTTCTCTTCAAATGGACCAAGAATTTGCCACAGCTCCTCGAAATTCATTGTTCCACAAGGCAGAGGTATGGTTTCGTTGTATTCCGTCATTTCAAGTTCTATTATGGGATAAAACATCTCCTTAAAATTGGGTATATTCAAATATGTTGTGAAGCTATTGGCATCTTGATAAATTGTCGATTCTGTTAGGAAAATATAATTGAAACCATATTTGCGGAATCTGGCCAAAATTGTTGCCCAATCGAAGACGAAGTCCTTACTATCATCGGGTGTGAATAGGGCCCATTTCATATTTTCCTCCTTCTCCATCCAATGTATAAAATCCAATAGCTCAAAATCTGGAGTCTCTCTACAGGCCACATAGAAATCCTTAAACAGTTTCACAAATCTAGGCACATCTGTTTCGGGTGTCTTTTCCAAATACTCCATTAATTCCAGGTTGACCTCATAGCCCAATAGATCAGCAACACCGTGATAATTATATTGAATTCCTTTGTGATGGTCGGACCAATTATGACAGGCGTAGGTATAGAAATCGCCACAGGGTCTGTAGTTGGTGTCCAAAGAATTCCATAATGTTTTGAGTTGTTTTTCATTAATCGTCTTGTGATCCACTGGCACATCCTCAGAGGTCCTCGCCAGGGCCAGCGAGGCCACCACCAACAACAGTAGCGTCGTAAGTATTTTCATATTACTGTTTTCGTCCACTTTACCGAACAAACTAAGTTTCTTTCAAAACACCTAATCTTAACTAAATTCCGCAAGTGTGAATTCACAGATTTTATAGAAATTTTCGGAGGTGAGTTATGACAAAAATAGTCCAAACATTTTTTTGGTATCAAAAACAAATGGTCAAGCGTAATTCATAATAATACTGAACTGCATTTGCGGGATGACCTTCTTGGGCAAGTTACTAAATTAGAAATGTTTTTTGTTGAAGTTTCAATGTGGCTTTAGCTATAGAAATAGCTGTGTCTAATAAATATGTCCAGTTATTAGAGGAAACAAAGCGGGAAGTGGGGGGAACTACGAGCAACCTTGGTTGCCAATGTTTACCTTAAAGAAAGGTTGCTGTTATCGATAGAACCAGGTTGAACAAGACTTAAAATTGAAGGATCATATAAATGAGTATAAATACAGTGCCCAACAAACTCAAGTGCAGGAACTGAAGTCTGAATTATTTGCTGCTGAAGAAAGAGCACGTTTTTTGGAGAAGAAAGTGCAACTAATTTCGGACAGTTTGGCCTATTCCGAGGAGGAGGCCCATAGAGTAGCTGAAACAGAGTGCGCTGAGTTGACTGCAAAATTTAGGAGAAAAGATGAAAGATTTGGAGTAGAAGACCCCATTACTAAAGTTGAAGTACTTTGGGGGGGTATGAAAAGGTATCAAGTCTCCGAAGACTTGAGAGGACAGCTTTCAAGTACTGTAGAATTGAAGTGGAAATGAAAGCAAGATATCCTATCTATGTGGAAACGGAAAACGACAGAAGTCAAGGATGAACTGTACGTCAGTGAGATAAAAGCAAAAAAGAATGGCCATTTACGACACTGGAATAAACAAGTAAAAAAACATTAAGTTCGGCCGGGCCAAACTTTTAATACCCTCCACCTTAGGGTAAAAGAAACATTAGAAGAAATGTGGCAGAAACCATTAAAATGCCGAATATCGGGAGGTACCGTTATATGGGGGCTACACCAAAACGGGGATCTATAATTACAATGTTTCGCCACACGAACTAGGACCCATTATGACCTACAAATACCAATTTTCAGACAAATCCGTGAAAAAATGTGACAAAAACCATCAAAATACCGAATATCGGGAGGTACCATTATATGGAGGCTATATCAAATCATGGACCCATGCATGCAATTTTTCGCCACCGGAGCTGGAACCCATTATGACCCACAAATACCAATTTTTAGACAAATCCGTGAAAAAAATGTGGGAAAAAAAATTAAAATACCGAATATCGGGAGGTACCGTTATATGGGGGCTATACCACAACGTGGACTTATACATGCAATGTTTTGCCACACGCTCAGGGACCCGTTATGACCTACAAATACAAATTTTCAGACCGTGAAAAAATGTGGCATAAATCATCAAAATACCGAATATCGGGAGGTACCGTTATATGGGGACCATACCAGAACGTGAACCTATATATCTCATTTTCAATACCAACCATCCTAGACACAATACCAATTGCTCTGCTAAATTTTGGCGCTCTACGTCAAATAATGTGGGCTATATCGTGATTTCAACAGACAGACAGACGGACCGACAGACTGACGGACATCGTTAAATAGACTTAGAGTTTTATGCTGATTATGAATATATATACTTTATGGGGTCTACGACGAATATTTAAGGATGTATCAAACGGAATGACAACGTTAATATACCCTCCTTTTCAAGGTGGAGGGTATAAAAATACCGAATATAGACGTTTTTGTTGTGGTCTATACGACGTGGACCTACATAGGCATTGTTTGTCATATGCCATTACCATATTCCAATACGAAAGCTTGAAATGAACGGTGAATAATGTAGCTAAAATCATCAAAATATCGTATTTAGGGAGGTACCGTTATATCGGAGCTGTGCGAAGACCTGCACCAGCATAGACAATTATCTGTCACATTACGAACTTAAAATACCACATCTCAAACAATTTCGGTGGGCATTGTACCTAAACTCGTCGAAATACCGAATATAGGGAGGTACTGATATATGGGGCCTATACGAAGACCTGGACCTGCATAGACAATTTTCTTGCACAGAATGTAGATCCCATTACGAATTCTAAATACGTAATTTGAAACAATTCCGGTTAATAATGTCGCTAAAATCATCAAAATACCGAATATAGGGAGGTACCGTTATATGGGGGCTATACTAAAACGTGGACCTATATGGCCCATTTGAATTACCAAAAATCCTGCAGACATAATATACGTTTGAGTAAAATTTTATCAATCTTCAATTCGTTCGGAAGCTAGAGTGATTTCCACAGACGGATAGACAGACGGACATCGATAAATCTACTTAGGGTCTGACATGAGTATTTCGAGGAGTTACAAACGGAACAAAGTTAATATACCCTCCATAGTATGATGGAGGGTATAAAAAGAATGCCCATCTACGATGCTGAAAGAATCTCAAATTTTCGTGAAGAAGAAGCTGCCAAATAGAAGTAGTGCAGTTCGTAAAAGGCAAATCGGAGTGACAGGAAATTAGGTACACTTGCAACGCTGGAACGATTAGCTATCCAAGGATGGAAGAGATTCCGGTGTGCTATAACTTAACCTCTTTTTTTCTCACTGTAAAAAAATGAGAAGGGAACACGACCGTATGGTGTGATTGTTGATTTGATTCCGTATGTACAGGGTGAGATGAAAAAAAACTGCAACTAACTTCAGACTGCTGTCATTTCGTCCGACAGCTGTTAAAATTATTTCGTACAAAAGCATTTTGGTGAGAATTTTCCAGGAAAAAAGTTATTCGTGATGGAATTCAAGCGTGATAGTGAGATTTCTTTACAGTTGGCTGGAAAACCACAAGTGGCTATCGTAAGAGCACTCCAGCATTTCAATGTGAATAAATCTTTTCTGCCTCGTACCATTCTGGTAGCGTAGCCCGAAGTTAAGGAAGTGTGACGAACGAAAACAGCAAAATCAGCAGAAATGGTTCGAAAAGTAAAGAAGCGACTCGATCGAAACCCGCGTCGCAGTGTCCGAAAAATGGCCTGTGAGCTGAACATATCGCAATATTTCATTCGGCAAATATTGAAAAATGGGCTCGGGGAAAAGCCATTGAAATTGTAAAAAGTGCAAGAACTTACACCGCAATAGAAAATTGATTCAAAAGCTAAGCTAAAGAGTTGCTTCGCTTGGCCGAAAGTAGTGAACTACCGAATTTGGTTAGGTTTGGTTCTCCGATGAGAAAACATTCGTTGTCCAGCAGTTTGTAAACAAACAAAATGATCGTGTTTACTTGCCAAAGAGGTTAGCTGAAAATGTGCTCCTTCGATTGGCCACCAGAACTTAAGCGCCGGCCATGGTGATGGTGTGGGCCGCCATAACAGCCGATGGTTGCTCTCTGATCGTATTAATCGACCGTGGCATCAGAATAAATACCGAATATTATCGCGAAAATATTCTGGAGGGTGAATTAAAGCCTTGGACACGCAAACATTTTGGCCGCAGACCTTGGACATTCCAACAGGACTCAGCACCATCGTACTCAGCACGCGCCACCCAAGAATGGTTTCAAAGTGAGGTTCCTCGCTTCATTTCCAGCATATAATGGCCACCAAAATTTACGGATACCCACCCGTTGGACTATTGTGTCCGGAGTATTTTGGAAACCAAGGTTGGCACTAAAAAATACCAAAGTGTCGATCATCTAAAGCAAGCGTTTCGAGGAGAATGGCCCAAAATACCGCAGAGCAACATTCGGGCAGCGTATGACGGTTTCATTGGCCCTTTTGAAGGCCATAATTCTTCCCAAAGGTGACCAATTCGAACAAATCTAAACTTATTCTTAAATTTGATGCTATTTCCGACATTTTTTGCTTTCATTCAATAAAATTTGAAAAAAAAAATGTAAAAATTATGGCATTTGACTTTGTTGCAGTTTTTCTTTTATCTCACCCTGTCTAGATAGAATAGATAATTTTTTAGTGGCATGTCCTAGCGGGATATCCCCACCATTAAATTCTGAATTCTGTAAAATATATATTTTGCACAGATGCATTTGGAAAATTTGTATAGCATCTGCCTGACCCCCCACCAGAATTGTGATAAGAAAATTTCTCTGATAATCTCAACTGGGATTTTGAATATTTTCAAATCAAAATAAACTTTAAACGAATCTAATTAACCTCTAAAAAAAATTATGTGGGTTTTTTGCGAAAATAAAATAATTGGATTTCAAATCTCCTAAATCTCTATAAAAGCTGAGACCTTTTGATTGGCAAAATTAGTTTAGATTTGAAGTTGGACGAGACTTGAGATTCAATTAACAAGTGTTTCAAATATGACAATCTCTTTGAGGCTTTTTTTGCTGTTTGGCCTGGCTGCCGTGGTGTGGTCCAGCGATGTGGACCACAAGGCCCTAAACGAAAAACAACGCAGCATTGTTATGGATTTTTTGGACAAGGACTTTAAACCCTGTACAAGTTTCTATCAATACGCCTGCTTCAAATGGTCCGACAGCCATGAGAAAACTCGTGATAATTTTACCACTGTTGCGGCAATGTTAAACTATGAGGCCAACATGGAGGTGATGGAATATTTGGAGAAAACTTCCCAGGCAAATATGCCAGATTTTGTGAAAAACTTCAGGGACTTCTATGGATCCTGTATGGAACAGCGGGAATTTAAGGCCCTTACATATATGCACTGGATGGAGAGGGAGGACAACATGAAATGGGCTCTCTTCACAGCCGACAATGCTGAGGATGTTGCGGTGTTCACTTGGCCCACCACCTTGGCCATGTTCCGCAAATATGGTTTCAATGATATTTTCCTTAAAGAGACAATTACCTACCAAAGTTCCGATAAGTTTACAATTGCCTTAAGTAAACCCAACTATGGTACATATAATTACCTCAACTCCTACCATATGGAGGAATTTAACACCAGCATTCCCTTACCACCGGATACCATGGATTTTATGAAGCTATGGGAGATCATTGATAAGTTTGAAGATAAATTAAATGACATAAAATTCGAAAAAGAGAAGAAAATTTATAAATTCAGTGAATTACCCTATGCCTGGATGAGGGAATATTTGCTGGTCCTGGCCAAACCTCAGGTGCTTGATGCCAACATGTTGCCTATATGGAGGCATTCGATAAGCTATTAAAGGAATATGATAATCTTTTCCTCACCCGCTATTTGGAAGTACGTTTCATCTACCATATGGCCATGGCCCAGAAACGGGATACACCCAATGAATGTATGACCACCGCCAAAAGTCTAATGTCCGTGGCCTTTGAGTGGATCTATGCAGTGCTACATCCAGAGCTGCAACATGAAATGGCCAAAATTTCTCAAATGTTTGAGAATATTGTGAAAAATGTCAACCGGACATTGCACATGGACAGGCATGGCCTGATACCCAAGGAACTATTCGAGAAATTGGACACCATTCAATTGAAGGTGGGAAATTTGCCACAAGAAAATGCCAAGGAAATTTTACAATCCTACTATCCCGATTTGAAACTCAGCCCCTTTGAATACTATGGCAATTATTTGAAATTATTGAGATTCCATTATGAACTCGAACATACCTACCTCAACTATGGTGACACCAATCATTTGCGGGACAACAAGGAATTTTTCTATAAAACCCCGGAATATAAATATGATCCAGAAATTCATCCCGAATACTATGCCCCTTTGAATATTTTGATCTTACCCTTGGCTCTATTGAGGCCACCCGTATATCATGTGGACTTTGAGGACTTTTTCAAACAAAGTTCATTGGGTTCCCTAATGGGTAATGGGATTTTTGGATCCTTCGAAACATTACATGATCGATTCGACGATGATCAACTCCAACAATTAGCTCAAGTTGTGGGAGTACATTCAGCATTTGAAGTCTTTTTCTCATCTCTGCAATCCGAGGATATTAGCCGTTATCAAACAATGTTCAATTTGACCTCTCTGCAGGAACTCAAGCAAATGTTCTTCCTCAATGCGGTCCACTATCGATGTGAATGGTATGTGGCCAATGCCGATGTTGTGGATTTTATGGCCACTCACTTGTCGGATTTTGCTGAATCGTTCGACTGTAAAATGAATAGTTTTTTGAAAATGTTCTAAAAAATGTTTCCGATTTGTGAATAAATGATAAACAAATGTCAACAAATTTTAAAATTGATTTCCAGTTTCAATGGCTTTTTTAAAATCAAATGTCAAAAATCTGTTAATTTACGAGACTTTGAAGTAGGAATTCCAATTTTTTTCAATTGGGCGCCAGATTTGTTTTGGTTTGTGTAGACAACTTCATGGGGAAAAATTTCTGAAATTGATATCCTGTTTCAATGGATTTTTAAAATCAAATGTCACAAATCTACTAATTAACGGGACTTTGAAGTAGGAATTCCATTTTTTACAATTGGGCGCCAAATTTGTTTTGGTTTGGGTAGACAACTTCATGGGGAGAATTTTTCTGAACTAAAAGGTGCATTCGATAAAAGTAACTGTCCTTTAAAAGAGGAAATGATTTTCAGACTCGGAAATAAATTATGTCCCTGTAGCTTCTACCGTGCCGAAGATATGGGTAAATAAAGACAACTCTCGAAATGGGGCGCATTTTTGGGAACAGGTCTTCTTAAGGACATATGTATCCTTTTGATAGATCCTATCCTTGTAAGGTAAATTTATTTTCAATGCCGAAATAATATTCTTACACTGACATAAAATTCATGCACGTAGCTCGTGTAATACTGGAGATATGGGCAAAATTAAACCATTTTCGAAATTTGTGAAATTTTTTGTCATTGTGAGTAATAACTTTCATGTAGGTATAACTTCTAAACTAATAGAGGTATCATTTTAAGTTTTCTTAATTTTGAAAGAAAGAGCACTTCGCCTAGACTCCCGAAAATTGGGCAGATACAACTTTCTCAGAGATGGAGATATGTATTCAGGGAAACCATACTCCAAATTTGTTCGAATTTTACCCTTTCTGTGTAGTCAAATTGTCGGCGTAAAAAGTTCTGAAGTAATAGATATATTTGGTTAAGTTAACTTGATTTCGAAAGAGGATGTCGTTGTTTTATTCCGACCGAAATTACGACGATGTAGCTTCCACCGTGCCAGAGATATGGGTAAATGGTGACAACTCCCTAAATTAGTTGCATTTCTGCTGTTTTTGGGAACAGTTCCTCTTTAAAGCATATCTTTGGCTTGGATAAGTTTTTTCTTTAAGAGTAAATTTGCTTTGAATACAGAGGTCATTCCGTTAAACTGACAAAAAATCCATGCACATATCTCATGTAATACTGGAGATATGGACAAAAGAAAATCAGTATTGGAATTTGTTAAATATTTTGTGATTGTGGGTAATAACTTTCATGTTGGTATAACTTCTGAACTAGTAGGGCTATCATGGTAAGGTTTTTTAATTTTGGAAGAGTGATCGATTTCTCTATACTCACTGAAAATTGAGCTGATATAGCTTTCACAGAAATGGAGATATGGATTAGCGAAAATAATACTGCAAATTTCTTCCCTTTGTGGCGTTATTGTGTAGTCAACTTTTGGGGGGATAACTCTTGAACTAATTGCTGTATCCAGTTAAGGTAACTTGATTTCGAAAGAAGACGTGATTTTCTGATACCAACCGAAATTACTTTCATATAGCTTTCACCGTACCAGAGATATGGGTAAATGGAGGGAGCTCACCATAATGTGTGAGATTTTTAGAGTCTTTCAGAAGAGTTATTTCAGAGGAAATAACTCGGGATCTGATAGTAGTACCCTTTTAAAGTAAATTTACTTACAATACAGAGACCCGGATTATTTATAAGACCTCCCCAGAAAGTCAAAAAAGGGCCCATTATGGAGGTCAACAACATTTATGGCAAATTATAGTTGACATTGTTACCTTACCAAAATATAACAATTTGTGGTAATACCTTTTTTGGGTCAAGATATATGGACCTGCTTCAAATCAACCCCATCATCTATACGGGGTGAGATAAAAAACTAAAACAAAGTCAAACGCCATAATTTTTACATTTTTAGTTTTTAAATTTTATCGAATGAAAGCAAAAAATGCCGGAAATAGCATCAAATTTTAGAATAAGTTTAGATTTGATTGGTCAACTTTGGCACTAATTATGGCCTTCAAATGACAATGAAAAACCGTCACACGCTGCCCGAAGTTCTGCAGTATTTTGACCCATTCCCGGCGAAGTGCTTTGCTTGAGGTGATCGACACTTTGGTATTTTTTAGTGCCAACCTTGCTTTACAAAATACTCCAGACGCGATAGTCCAACGGATTGGTATCCAGAGATTTTGCCGGCCATTGTGCGCTGGAAATGAAGCGAGGAACCACATTTTGTAACCATTCTTAGGTGGCGCATGCTGAGTGCAATGGCGCTGAGTTCTGTTGGAATGTCCAAGGTCTGCGGCCAAAATTTCGAGGTCTGCGGCCAGAATATTTTCGAGATAATATTCGGCATTTATTCTGATGCCACGCTCGATTAATACGAGCTGAGAGCGACCATCGGCTGTTATGGCGGCCCACACCATCACCATAGCCGGCGCTTGAGTTCTGGTGGCCAACCGAAGGTGCACATTTTCAGCTGACCTCTTTGGCAAGTAAACACGATCATTTTTTTTGTTTACAAACTGCTGGACAACGAATGTTTCCTCATCGGAGACGGAGAAAACTAAATTCGGCAGTTCACCACTTTCGGCCAAGCGAATCAACTCTAGCTCTTTTGAGTCTATTTTCTTTCTGTTACGGTGTGAGTTCTTGCACTTTTTGGAATTTCAATGGCTTTACCCTGAGCTCATTTTTCCATATTTACCGGGTCTTGGGTCAAAAATTTGTGGTCATAGGTCTGACCCCCAGGAAAAAAAAATTATTTCCCGGAATCAGAATAAAAATACCTACCACTGGAAAAAAAATTAATTATTCCCTGAGGATTCCCAGCTACGCATCCCAAATAATCAACTAATTAAGTAATCCTACTAACTTAGGTCCCAGATGCAATTCAAAATATTTATGGCATCTGCTTGACCCTAAATAATTGATAACAATATTATTTTTATACCCTCCACCATTCTATAGAGGGTATATTGACTTTGTTATTCCATTTGTAACTCCTCGAAATATTCATAATAGACCCTACAAGGTATCTATATTCTGGATCAGGATAAGATTCTAAGTCTGTCTCAGATAAAAGACTAAACTTGTGCATACATCCATAATTTACCAGCAGGCAGGTTAAGTTCGTAAATGGACCATGTCGGTCCACGTTTTCGTGCAGCCCCATATAACGGTAACTTCCGATATTCGGTATTTTCATGATTTTAGGGACATTATTTACCGGAATTATTTCAAATTTCGTATTTGAAGTTCGTAATGGGTACTACAGCTTATGACAAGAATTTTTGTATGCAGGTCTACGTTTTCGTATAGCCCCCATATAACGTAACCTCCCGATGTTCGGTATTTTGATGATTTCAGCAACATTATTCGCCGGCATCGTTCCAAATTTCATACCGAAAGATCCTAATGGGTACTAAAATCTATGGGAAAAAATGTTGTATGCAGGTCCAGATCTTCGTATAGCCCCCATATAACGGTACCTCCCGATATTCGGTATTTTCATGATTTTAGGAACATTATTGACTGGAATTATTTCAAATTTCGTATTTGAAGTTCGTATTGGGTACTACAGCCTGTGACAAAAATTTTTGTATGCAGTTTCAAGTCTTTGTATAGCCTCCACATAACGGTACCTCCCGATAGTCGGTATTTTGACGATATCAGCAACATTATTCCACGGAAACGTTTCAAATTTCGTACTGGAGGATCCTAATGGATACTACAAGCTATGGGAACAAATGTTGTATGCAGGTCCAGATCTTCGTATAGCCCCCATATAACGGTACCTCCCGATATTCGGTATTTTCATGATTTTAGGGGCATTTTTTACCGGAATTATTTCAAATTTCGTATTGGGTACTACAACTTATGACAAAAATGTTGGTATGCAGGTCTACGTCTTCGTATAGCCCCCATATAACGGTACTTCACTATATTCGGTATTTTGGCAATTTCAGCAATATTATTCACCGGAACCGTTTCAAATTTCGTATCTTAATGGTACTACAACCTATGGGAAAAAATCGAATGCAGGTCCATGTCTTCGTATAGCCCCCATATAACGGAATCTCCCGATACTCCATATTTTCATGATTTTTACGACATTATTACCAGAATTGTAACATAATTCGTATTTAAGGTTCCTAATGGGCACTACAGCCTTTGATAAAGAATTCGTATGCAGGTCCATGTCATCGTATAGTCCTCATATAACGGTTTTCATTTAAGTGGTAGTTTTCGGATTTTTTTTTGAAATTTTTCAATTTCCTTCGAATTGTTGGAGGGTATTAAAAGTTCGGCCCGGCCGAACTTAGCTGCCTGTTTACTTGTTTCATGCTTATCTCTTGATTTCATTATCAAAAATATAACCCGAATAAATTTGTCATAATAAATCTTTGAAATGTTCTATAAAAGCTGTGATTTGTTTGTTGCAAAACTTAGTTGAGACTTGAGAATCGAGGAATGATTTAATTAAACGGCGATTTGAGGATGAAGATGAAAATATATGTACTGATGCTATGGCTGGTGATCGCCCTTGCCGAGAAAGTGGTCATGGATCACAAAGCCATTAATGAAAAACAACGCAGGATGTTAATGAATTCCTTGGATATGGACTACAGACCCTGTTCAAATTTCTATCGTTACGCCTGCAATAAATGGTACGATCAGCAAAAGGAGCTCGGTGAAAATTATACCAGCGTTGCTGAGATGTTAAACTATGACGTCAATATGGAATTGATTGAGTATTTGCGGAATACTCCGGAGACAGATATGCCTGGCTTTGTGAAACTGGTCAAGGATTTCTATGTGTCCTGCCATGATACCTCTGAATTTACGCTTTTGGATTTTATGCATTTGATGGAGCGCGAAGATAACATGAAATGGGCTCTCTTCACACCCGATGATAGCAAAGATTTCCAGTTCGATTGGTCGTCGATTTCGGCTATGTTTCGCAAATATGGTTTCAATAATATTTTCCTAAGCGAATCGAGAGCTTATCAAGATGCCAATAGGGTTACACCATATTTGAATATGCCCAAATATAAGGAGACGTTTATGCACCTAATCAAATTTCAAATGGAAGAATACAACCGTAACATACCTCTGCCCCGCCATACAATGAGTTTTGAGGATTTATGGAAAATTATTAAGCCGTTTGAAAAAAAATTGCGTAAAATCAAAGTAGAAAAACCGCAGCAGCCAAAAATATTGAAATTCCAAGAACTACCCTGCAAAGTTACCTCAAAGCTTTGATGAAACCCCAAGTTATTGCTGCCGATATGGAAGTGGGTATTGACAATATGGCCTACATGGAGGCGCTGGATAATTTACTGCAACAATACGATGCGAAATTTCTGGCCCGCTACATGGAACTGCGTATCTTGGAGATTTCCTATAACTTAAACAAGGGTAGTACCGACAATCAATATATGACCATGACAAAAAGTCTATTACCCCTGGCCACTGAATGGATCTATGAGCAATTGCATCCGGAATTGCCACAGCAAGAATTGCCAAAAATCGCCGAAATGTTCGGAAACGTTGTGAAAAATGTCAACAAATCTCTGCACAGGGATACGAGTGGGATAAAACCCAAAGAATTACGGAACAAACTGGAAACAATGCACCTGAAAGTGGGTAATTTACCTCAGGAAAATGCCAAGGATCTTTTGGAATCCTACTATGCCGATTTGCAATTGAATCCGAACAATTATTATCACAACTATTTGAAAATATTGGAATTCTATTACAAGCTGGAGCAGAACTATTTCGATTACAAAGATTACGCCATAGATAAGGAATTTTTCTGTAAAACTCCCAAATACGAATACAATGCCGATATCCAACTCCGATATGTTGCCTCATTGAACCTCTTAATAATTCCCTATGGCCTATTGAGACCCCCCGTGTATCACATAGAATTGGAGGATATTTTCAATGAAAGTTCCTTGGCCACTCTAATGGGTATAAGTTTGTTTGAGGCCTTTTTAACGATCCCGCATCTACACTCGGATGAAATTAAGAAAATATCTGGAGTTGTTAGTCTCTATGCCACATTTGAGGGTTTCTTCTCGACGCTATCAGACGAAGAGATTTCACGCTATTTGGAGATGTTTGGCTTCCGTTCAGTGCAAGAACTTAAACAAATGTTTTTCCTCAATGCCATTCACTACAAATGTGAATGGTATTCGGGGTATGTTGGAAGTCTTAATTTTATGGTTAACAATTTGTCGGATTTTAACGAAGTGTGTGATTGTAAATTGCATAAGTTTTTGAGAATGTTTTAGAATTGTTTTGCCTTTTTTCTTAAATAAAATAATTGAGTAATGAAAAAAAAAAAAAAAAATAAAAACAAAGAAAACACAAAAAATCTTTGAAAGTCCCCCAACATTCGGAACGAGTTCGGCAATTTTTAAAAAAACAAAAAGGAGTCCGTTAAAAATTCGACGACGTGGACCTGCATAGGCAACTTTTGTCATAAGCCATTAACATTTTCAAATGCGAAACTTTAAAAAAAAGTTCGGTGAATAAATAAATACAGAATATCGGAAGGTACCGTACGGGGGCTATAGGAAGACGTGGACCTGCACAGACAATTTTCTGTCTCAGGATGTAGCACTTATTACGAACTTCAAATAACAAATTTGAAATATTTAGGTTGAATAAAGTCGCTGAATCATCAAAATACCGAATATCGGGAGGTGCCGTTATATGGCGACTATACCAAAACATGGACCTATACGGACAATTTTCTGTCTGAGGCTGTAGTATCCATTTCAAACTTCAAATACCAAATTTGAAACAATTCCGGTGAATAATGTCGCTAAAATCATCAAAATACCGAATATCGAAGGTACCGTTATATGGCGACTATACCAAAACATGGATCCACACGGACCATTTTCTGTCTGAGGCTGTAGTAGCCATTACGAACTTCAAATGCCAAATTTACAACAATTCTCGTGAATAATGTCGGTAAAATCATCAAAATACTGAAAATCGGAAGGTACCGTTATATGGGTGCTATACCAAAACGTGGACCTGCACAGACACTTTTCTGTCTGAGGCTGTAGTATCCATTAAGAACTTCTAATACCAAATTTGAAACAATTCCGGTGAATAATGTCGCTAAAATGATCAAAATGCCGAATATCGGGAGGTCACGTTGCATGGGGGCTATACGAATAGGTGGGCCTGCACAAACAATTTTCTGTCGTAGGCTGTATTATCCATTTCGAACTTCAAATACCAAATTTGAAACAATTCCAGTGAATAATGTCCCTAAAATGATCAAAATACCGAATATCGGAGGTGCCGTTATATGGTGGGCTACACCAAAACGTGGACCTGCACAAACAATTTTCTGTCTTGGGTTGTAGTAGCCATTACACACTTCAAATACCAAATTTTAAACAATACTGGTTAATAATGTTGCTAAAATCATCAAAATACCGAATATCGGGAGGAACCGTTACATGGGGGCCATACCAAAATGTGGACCTACTTGGCCCATTTTCACTATCAAAAGTCCTGCAGACATAATACACATTCGAATATTCAAAATTTTGAATCTTTGTGGGGGTTGTACGGTAGTGTCCATTTCTGCACCTGACGGAGGATTTGCAAGGTTAGGATTTCAAAGTTGGAGCAAAATCGGATTATCTTTTCTCTTTCGGTGCAATAAATTGTTTTCTTTTGAAAATATTGACATTTTGTGGGGCGGGTACCAGAAGGAGTGTACTTATATTGCCCATCTCCGAACTTGATCTAAGTTTAAAAATAATATTACGATGTGCCAAGATTGGATCAAATCGAATACTCCCTTTGAGAGTTATCTTGCACACTAGCCAGCCAGACAGACAGACAGACGGACATCCCTAGATCGACTCCAAATGTCCTGAAACGGATTTGATCCAAAGAGACCTAGGTCTTAAAATCGTTACTTCGATGAGGCACGTTTTGGCCGTTTCAAATGATATATACCCTCTCTAGCCATGTGGCTGAGGGTGTAAAAAAGCAGCAAAGTCCGAAAATTTAATCAAAATTTGCAAAAAAAGAATACCTCGAAAAATGCTGCTTAAAGGAAGATCGTTATATGGGGGCTATATGAAGACGAGGACCTGCATTAGTATTCAGAAGAGTGTAACAGATTTCATACTTGTGGGTAATACATTTCTAGGAGGCATAACTGCTGAACCAATAAAGCTATCACATTACGGTTCCGCTTAAAAATGGTCAACATATCATGGCGGTTTCCTTTTTTATTTCTCAGGAAAATTATTAACCCAGGTTCACTCTACATTCCTTTCTCTAGGGAAAAGGTGTTTAATAAAAGTTACTATTTTCAGAATTTTTTAATTGTTTGAATTTTTATTTTTTAAATTTAAATTATTTAAATTTTTTATAAAATATTTTTCTTTTTTTATAATCCAAATTTCCATTTAAAAAAATTTTTATCAAACCATTGAATATACAATCGAAACTTGAAGGTGATTCAAGTTTTTTTTTTTCGGATTTATTTTTTGTTTGAAATTTTTTATCTTTTTTTAAATTAATTTTTTTTTCAAAATCCAAATTTCCATTTCAAAACATTTTTATCAAACCATTGAATTTACAATCGAAACTTGAAGGAGATTCAATTTTTTTTCAGATTTATTTTTTGTTTGATTTTTTTTTTTTAAAAAATATTTTAACTTTTTTTAAATTAAATTTTTTTCAAAATCCTAATTTCTATTTCAAAACATTTTTATCAAACCATTGAATTTACAATCGAATGTCTCAATGAAATCGGACAAATTATTGATAACAAAATTGACCCGTTCCACATTGTTGAAATACCATTCGCATTGCTGGTGTATGGCATTAATGAAGAAGATTTGTTTGATTTGCTCGAGGGATGTCAGCTGGAACAATGTCTGATAGCGCAAGATCTCCTCAGGCTGGGCTGAAGAGAAAAATATCTCAAATGCTGAGTGTAGACTTGTGAGGCCGGCTATTTTTTGCACATGATTGGCATCAAGTCCCCCATTTTCTTCCACGGGGAATGCTTCAAAAATACCCATGGCCATGAGATGGGCCAGGGAACTTTGCTTGAAAATATCCTCAAAGGCTGCATGATATACCGGTGGTCGGAGCAGACCCAAAGGTAGCTGCAAAGTATTTGAAGTTTCGACATAGATGGGTGCAATTTCGGCATCATATTTAAATTCCTTGCGATTTTCCGCATTCTCCAATTGATAATGGAATTCCAGTAATTTCAAATAATTTCCATAATAATCATGGGATTGTAGTTTTAAACCCGAATAATAGTTCTCCAAAAGTTCCTTGTGATTTCCTTCGGGCAACATGCCAATCTTTAGCTGCATGGTCTCTAACTGCCTGAAGAACTCCTTGGGTATCAATGGACTTTTGGTCCCATACAGGGTTTTGTTAATATTTCGCACGGTATTCTCAAACATTTGTTGGATTTTGGGTATTTCAGAGGCTATCTTGGGATGTAGTTGTCCATAGATCCATTCACCGGCCAGAGGCATAAAACTTGTCCCGGTGGTCAAACATTCGTGGCTGGAATGGCGTTTATTGGCCATTTCCATGTAGTTTAGGAAACGTAATTCCAAATAACGACATAGGAATCCTTGATCGTATTCCTTTAATAGTTTATCCAGGGCCTCCATGTAGGCCACATTATCGATGCTAATGACCATATTTTCATCCACAGCCTGGGGATGCATTAGGGATGTTAGGTATCCCCCTAACCAGTCATAGGGTAATTCATGGAACTTAAATTGTCTGGCTTCTACATTTTCCCTTGGAATTTCTCGCAATTTATCTTCAAAGCGATCCACCAATTTCCAGAGTTCCTCAAAACTCATGGTGCCCTCGGGCAGAGGGATACTCTCATTATAGCCATTCAGTTGATAGGAATTTAGGTAATTGAATTTCTCCTCATAATCGGGACGATTTAAGTAGGTCACGCCAGTAGTGGCATCTTGAAATTTGCGGGAGTAGCTTACAAACATATCATTGAAACCATATTTGCGGAACTGGGCCAAAGTTGAGGGCCAATTGAACCCTTGCTCACCATCTTGCGGTGTGAGCAGGGCCCATGTTATTTTTTCTTCCTTCTCCATGGTCCTCATTAATTCCTCTAACTCAAATACTTCACGTTCCACACAGGATCCATGGAAAGTTTTAAGGGCTCTTACAAACTCTGGCATATTATCGGCGGGTGTCTTTTCCAAATATTCCAAAATTTCCAGATTTCCATGGAATTTCAAGGCCTCACCGACCGTGTGATATTGATCACTATACTCCTTGTGATTATCCAGCCAATTCGAACAGACATATTGATAGAATTCGGTACAGGGATCCAACGACTTGTCCAGAACATTCATAATGGTATGGAGATGTTTTCGATTCAAGGCTTCGGGATTTTCATCATGGCACCACACCACCGCCACCACCATAGAGGTCCATAAAAACAACAATAGCTGGACAAATAATTTCATTTTTTCGCCACTTGAAAATTTGATTTTTTTGGCTCTCTCATTCACGTGGAACTTCGACGAAATTCAAAACAACGACTGATGTTTTGAAACATTCGAAGTGACAGAAGAAAACCTTTTTTTATTAAAATTCATATCTCCGATGTGAGAGGTCAAACTAATTGTCAAAATGGTTATCTTGAAAAAAAAAATGCAAAATAGAAATTCTCACAGCAGCTAATCACAAAAACGGCCGGCAATCTCAGTTCTGCAATGATTTAACACCCCACTACCCATGGAGTGACGTAATATATTTGTTTTTATTTTTTTTTTCGAATCTGAACAATTGAGATAGGTTTAGATTTGAAAAATTGCAAACCAGACAACACGAAAAAAGGCGAACTTTTAATACCCTCCACCATTTGGAAGGAACTTGAAAAATTAAAAAAAATCCGCTCAAATGAAAAGTGTTATGTGGAGACTATACGAAGACGTGGGCCTGCAAACGAAATTTTTTGTCATAGGCTGTAGTACCCATTACGAACTTTAAATACGAAATTTGTTACAATTCCGGTGAATAATGTCGCAAAAATACAAAACTCTACATACGTAATTTGAAACTACTCCGGCGAATAATGACGCTAAAATCATCAAAACACCGAATATTGGGAGGTACCGTTATATGGGGGCCATACCAAGACGTGGACCTGCATACGAAATTTTTTTTCCATAAGATCTCCCAATACGAAATTTTGAAAAGATTCCGGTGAATATATAATGTTGCTGAAATTATCAAAATACCGACTTTCGGGAGCTACCATTATATGGGGGCTATTCGAAGACGTGGACCTGCATACAAAAATGTTTGTAGGCTGTAGTACCCAATACGAACTTCTTACATGAAATTTGAAAAAATTCCGGTAAATATTGTCGCACAAGTCAGAAAAATACCGAATATCGGGAGGTACCGTTATATGATGCTATACGAAAACGTGGACCGACATGACCCATTTACGAACTTAACCTGCCTACTGGTAAACTATGCATGTATGCAAAATATTAGCCTTTTATCTCAATTCGTACGAAAGATAGCGTGATTACAAATGACAGACATATATATGGACAGACATATCTGACATAGCTAGATCGTCTTAGAATTTTACGCTGACCCAGAAAATATATATTTTTTGTAGGGTCTGTTATAAATATTTCGAGGAGTTATAGACGGAATGACAAACTCAATATACCCGCCATAAAATGGTGGTGAGTTTATAAAAAAGAAGAAATTGGAGAAAACGAAAGTTTTTACCTTGAAACTGGTACTAAATTGTTCCAAAATTTAGTACCATTTAGTACTTTTCGTGCACATAAGTACACATTTTAAAAACTTCCTCCATAAAGCCAAACCTACACTGCGCAAGTAATTTTAACTTCAGAATTCCAGCTCCATCTGTTTCTCGAAATTAGAATTGTACTAAATTTAGTACTTTTCGTATACCTGCCAGAAAAACCTCCTTACATTGACTCTATTCCCCAACCTTGATTTCCATTTCAAATTTCAAGTTTTTAACTCTAGCCGTTCAATGATGCCAAATAGTACCAAATGTCGTATATTTTAATACTTTTCGTACACTTATAGTCCAAAAACCCTTTGGTACATCTATCATACACTCCATCAGTGACCCTCACTCCAAATTTAAGAGTTCTACTCAAATACAAAGGGTACCATATTTAGTACCTTTTATTACTTTTCGTACCGTTCTTTTACGCATTTCCAAAAATTAAGCCATATCTGAATCATTCGTACCAAGAGTGACCCTCAACCAAAATTTCAAGATTCTAGCTTCAGCCGTTTCGTCTGGGCGTTGATGAATCGTTAAGTCAGTCAGTCAGTCAATTGCTCTCTACCACCAAACATAGTAGAGAGGATATACAGGGTGAGATGCAAAAACTGCAACCAACTTCAGATAAGCCACTCGTCCGACAGCTGTTAAAATTATTCCAGTGATAGCTCACTATATTGTTTACAAGCGTACAAAAGCATTTTGGGGAGAATTTTCCAGAAAAAAAGTTATTCGTGATGGAGTTCAAGCGTGATAGTGTGATCTCTTTATACTTGGCTGAAAAACCAGAAGCGGCTAACGTTAGAGCACTCCAGCATTTAAATGTGAATACATATTTTGTGTGTCGTACCATCGCTCGTCACCGTGATACTGGTAGCGTAATCCGACGTTAAGGAAGTGGACGGAGGAAAACAGCAACATCAGCAGAAATGGTTCGAAAAGTAGAAGCAGCGATTTGATCGAAACCCGCGTCGCAATGGCCGACGAGCTGAAATGGCTCGTGAGCTGAACATATTGCAATATTCCATTCGGCAAATATTGAAAAATGAGCTGCCGAATTTGGTTTGGTTCTCCGATAAGAAAACATTCGTTATCCAGAAGTTTGGAAACAAACAAAATGATTGTGTTTACTTGCCAAAGAGGTCAGCTGACCTCAAGCGCCGGCCAAGGTGATGTTGTGGGCCATAAGACATAACAGCCGATGGTCGCTCTCCGCTCGTTTTAATCAGAATAAATGCCGAATATTATTGCGAAAATATTGTGGAGGGTGTATTAAAGCTTTAAGCACCTTCGGTTGGCCACCAGAACTCAAGCGCCGGCCAAGGTGATGTTGTGGGCCATAAGCCATAACAGCCGATGGTCGCTCTCCGCTCGTTTTAATCAGAATAAATGCCGAATATTATTGCGAAAATATTGTGGAGGGTGTATTAAAGCTTTGAGCAAGCAAACATTTTGGGCGCAGAACTTGGACATTCCAATAGTACTCAGCACCATCGCACTCAGCACGCGCCACACAAGAATGGTTACAAAATGAGGTTCCTCGCTTCATTTCCAGCGCACAATGGCCACCAAAATCTCCGAATACCAATCCGTTGGACTATTGTGTCTGGAGTATTTTGGAAAGCGAGGTTGGTACCAAAAAATACCAAAGCGTCGATCACCTCAAGCGAGCGCTTCGCCGGGAATGGGCCAAAATACCGCAGAGCAACATTCGGTCAGCGTTTGATGGTTTCATGGGCCGTTTGAAGGCCATAATTCGTGTCAAAGGTGACCAATTCGAACAAATCTAAATTTATTCTAAAATTTAACGCTTTTTCCGACATTTGTTTCATTCATTCAATAAAATTAAAAAACATGTAAAAATTATGGCGTTTGACTTTGTTGCGGTTTTTCTTTATCTCACCCTATATTTAAAGTTCGTAATGGGTACTACAGCCTACAAAAAATTCGTATGTAGGTTCACGTCTTCGTATAGCCCCCATATAACGGTACCAATAATCTGTATTTTGATGATTTCAGCAACATTATTCACCGGAATTATTTCAAATTTCGTATTGGAAAATCTTAATGGATACTACAACCTATGGCAAAAAATTTCGTATACAGATCCACGTCTTCGTATAGCCCACATATAACGGTACCTCCCGATACTCGGTATTTTCATGATTTTTACGACATTATTCACCGGAATGGTTTCAAATTTCGTATTTAGAATTGCTAATTGGTACTACAGCCCATGACAAAAAATTGCCCTTGCAGGTCCAGGTCTTCGTATAGCCCCCATATATCGGTACCTCCCGATATTCGGTATTTTTATTATTAAGAGACAGACATTATTCACCGGAATGGCTTCAAATTTCGTATTTGATATGGGTACTCGAGTCTATGACAGAAAATTGCCCGGCATAAATATATCACCCTACATATTTTCAGTATTTTGATGGTTTCAAAAACATTATTCACCGGATTTTATTTTTCAAGTTTGAATATTGTAATGACCTACGACAAAAGTTTCCTATGCAGGTCCACGTATAGACCCCAACATAAGGGAGACTTTCTACATTCGGTATATTTAAGATTATAATTTTTAACGGATTTTATTTTTTTGAAAATTGCCAAATTTGTTCCAAATGGTGGAGGGTATTTAAAGATCGACCCGGCCGAACTTACAGCTGTTTTACTTGTTTTATCTGTATTAGATGAAGTGGAATATTTCGGTCTGTTATAGTTGTTAACTCACGCATATTTCAAATTTTTCCAAAAATTTGCATATATCTCATATAAAATATGGAAAGTAGTCGATACAGTCCAAATCTGTGACATTGCAAAATTTTTATTAGTCTCTGGTCAGATACGAATTGGTCAATATTGGCCAACTTCTTTGGAACCTCCACCATACTTGCTAATTGTTGGCTGAACCGCACCACAATGTATGTGCAAATAATACATGTTATTCCAATTTTGTATTTGGGCGCCATTTGTTATCAAAAATCAGAGTTCAAGCCGATGTTAAAAAAGTTGATCTGGCGCCCAAATGTTCAAAATAGTATATATTTATATTTAAAGTGATGCAATGAAAATGGCTTTCTTGGGAGAGATACTAAAAGAATAGCTGGGAAAAGAGCTACAAGGCGTGTGCAAATTGCCATTTATAATTTTCTTCCAGAAATTTAAATTTTACCAAATTTTGTATTTGGGCGCCATTTGGAACGTTTCCCTTTCGAGACAAGGTAAAGGTCACCAAAATCAAAAAACAAATATAAAAATTAAATCAACATCAGCCTTATCCTTCTTATATAATTATATTTATTTTCCGATTTCAAAATTAATTTCAAAATAAATCAAATTCTTGTTCCTAAAACATTTTCACATAGTTATTCAATTTACAATCATAGACTTCGGTAAAAGCTGACAAATGACTCACAGTCGAATCGACATAGTGTTGCAAGCTGGCGGGAATCCATTCGCATTTGTAGTGGACCGAGCCGAGGAGGAACATTTCCTTGAGTTGTTGCAGTGTGGTGAAGCCAAACATTGTTTGGTAGCGGCTAATCTCTTCGGCGGTTAGAGTTGAGAAAAATGCCTCAAATGATGAGTAGAGACCTATAACACCGGCTATTTGTTTAACATCGTCAGCGGGGAAACCATCATCATCAACCCCCAGGAAGGCATCAAATATTCGCACAGCCATGAGAGTGGCCAGTGAACTCTGCTTGAAAATATCCTCAAAGTCGGCATGATATACGGGTGGTCGGAACAGGCCCAATGGGTAAATGAAAAGATTCATCGATGCCACATATGTCGGCTCAATATCCGCTTCGTAGTCATAATTTGGTTTGTTTTGATAGAACATCATGTCATCTTCGACAGCGTATTTGCTGTCCTGCCAGAATTTAAAATAAAATTTCATGATTTCCAAATTATTGAGATAATAATCCGAGGGTGTCAACTTCAACTGGGCATAGTACGATTCCAACAGATCCTTGGCATCCCTTTCTTGTGGTAAATTGCCGACTTTCATGTGCATGGTTTCCAGTTTATCAAAGAACGCCTTGGGTATGACTCCACTCACATCCAGGTGCAAAGATTTGTTGACACTTCGCACCATATTTTCAAAGATTTGTTTGATTTTTGGTACTTCCTCCACCAGTTCCGGGTGCATTTGTCCATAGATATATTCCGTGGCCATGGGGAAGATATTTTTCGTAATCGTCATACACTTGCTGGGGTAGCTACGTTGATTTAGCTTATCAAAAATCTGCATAAATCGCAATTCTATGTAACGTGCCAGGAATATGGCATCGTAGGGCTTGAGGAAATTATCCAAGGTTGCCATGTAGGCCATATTGTAAACTCCTACTTCCATATCGGGATCGATGGCTTGTGGGTGTAGCAAGGCCTTGAGGTAACTCTGCATCCATGGATAGGGTAGTTCATGGAATTTAAACATTGTTGGCTCCGTCTCTTTCGGGACTTTAATTTCACGGAACTTGTCCTCAAACGTATCAATGATTTCCCATAATTCCTCAAAATTCATGGTGCCGCTGGGCAGGGGTATGGTGCGATTATATTCCTCCATTTCAAAGTGGAATATATAGTTGAAACTACTGAAGTTGGGCATTTTAAAGTACATTGTAAATTTATCGGCATCTGGAGACTTTTTCGCTTCGCTGCGGAACAAATAATTGAAACCATATTTACGGAACCTTGCTGCAATTGCAGTCCAGTCGAAAACAAAATCTTCGCTATTGTCCGCAGTGAATAGGGCCCATTTCATATTCTCTTGTCTCTCCAGCAAATGCATGAAATCCAAAATTGTCAACTCCGCAGTTTCCCTACAGGACACAAAGAAATCCTTGACCATTTTCACAAATCCTGGCATATTCGATTCGGGTGTTTTTTCAAAATACTCCATCAATTCCAGATTGACCTCATAGTTTAACATCTCAGCAACGTTGGTGTAATTGTCACGTTTCGCCTTGTGATTTTCCGACCATTTATAACAGGCATAATTGTAGAAAGTCGTACAGGGTCTGAAGTCTGTATCGAAATTATCCATCAAAAGGCTGCGTTGTTTTTCATTGATAGTCTTGTGGTCGTCCTCGCCGGACACCATCACCGCGCCAAGTGAGGCCGCCAACAGCAAAACACAAATTTTCATGTCGTCTCAGGGTACACCACGTCAAATGAGTTCTCTTCAAATGTCTAATCCAAACTAAATTTTGCCCTGGCAAATTCCCGTTTTTTATAGGATTTTTTTTTTGAAGATAAGTTATAATGAACTTAGGTTTTTTAGATTTGAAAAAAAAAAAAATAATTGTCACGAGAAAAATAAAATGTTTTGTTATCAAAAATCAAAGTTCAAGCCGATGTCAAAAAAAGTGAATCTGGCGCCCAAATGTTGAAAATAGTATATTTAAAGTGATGCAATGAAAATGGCTTTCTTGGGAGAGATACTAAAAGAATAGCTGGGGAAAAAGCCATAAGGCGTGTTCAAATTTTTGCAGCGAATTCGCCGAAGATGCTAAATTTGGTTGAAACAAAATAGTTTTTTTTTTTCAGTTCCAGTTCTATCGTTTCACACAAATCCCAATAGTACGAAATTTTGTACACATAAGTACAAATTTGCAAAACTTCCCACATACCCCAATCCTACACTACAAATTTCCCTCCTACACTCAAATCCCATAGAAATTTGTGCAAAATTTAGTACCATTTAATGTACATTAGTACGAATGTCCAAAGATCCTTACAAACCCCAATGACGACACTTCAACAGTCATCATAATTCTAAATATCAGGATTCCAGCCCTATCGGTTCGCTCAAATCATATTTGTTCCAAATTTGGTACATTTTCGTAAAATTGTACCAAATTTAGTACATTTGTACAAATAATTACACATTTCCAAAATTACCTACATATCCAAATCCTACACTCATACAGTAACCCTAATTAAAATTTTTAGGATACCAAGTCTATTGGTTCACCCAAATCCAAATTGTTCCAAATTTAGTACCATATGGTACACATAAGTATGAATTTTCAAAACTACCTACATACCTCAGTCCCATAATGGAATAGTAATAAATATTTCTAAATTTCAGAATTCCAGCTCTCTTGGTTCACCCAAATCGAAATTGTACCAAATTTAGTAACATTTAGTACCTTTCGCACACATACGTACACGTTTAGATAACTTCCCCCACATCCCAATCCTACACCCCGCCTACATATCAAATTTCAGAACTTCAGCTCCAACCGTTCACCCAAATTTAAATTGTACTAAATTTAGTACCATTTAGTATACTCTTGGTATACCTGAGTACACACTTAGTTTTGGACTCTACACCTCCTTACATGGACTCTACTCCCCAACCTCGATTCCCATTCCAAATTTTCTGCTCTAACTGTTCACATGATACGAAATGGTACCAAATGTAGTATATTATAGTACTTTTCGTACACTTATAAATCAAAAAATTCTTTGGTACACCAATCATGCTCTCCATCAGCGACCCTTATTCCAATTTAAGAGACAGCTACATTAATTTACTTCACCTCTTTACTGCACTGACTGGCTGGTAATCTACCCACTCGTATTTATGGGTCCTCATTTAATACATAGCAATTACGAGAATTCCAATCCTACCAAAATCACGTCAATGAGCATATAAGCACATATACAAATCAGTAAAGAAAGTCCTAAAGTCGGGCGGGGCCGATTTTATGATACCCTACACCACTTTGCTAATTTAGTTGAGCTGTACATAACAATTAAAAGTTTTTATGGGAGAACTCAATCATACACGCTATGATTATAATTATAATTTAAAGTTCCGAGGACTAAATATGCCGAAGCATTTGTATTTTTTAAATTCGGACTTGTATTGCCCATTTGGTGCACAATTAATTTGAAATCGGATAAAAATATATATGGGATCTATATCCAAATCGGAACCAATCTCAATAAAATTTGGCAAAGATATTTCTGAGCTGCATTTGATACATTTCCCTGAATATCGTTGTTACGGAGTGCATATGACGCCTGCGGAGGACTAAAAAAACAAATCGGATGAACAATATATATGGGAGCTATAGCTATATCCGAACCGATCTTCACCAAATTTGGCATACTACCTTCTAGACTCAATTCGGTCGTGTGTGCCAAATTCCATCCCATTTGGGCAAATCTTAGACGTTTGGTGCACAATAAAATGTAAATCGGACGAAGTTATATATGGGAGCTATATCCAAATCCAAACCGATCTCGTTAAAATTTAGCAAATGTATTTCTGAGCTGCATTTGATATATTTCCCAAAATGTTGTTGTTACAGAGTGCATATTACGGCTGCAGAGTACAAAACTAACAAATCGGATGAACAATATATATGGGAGCTAAAGTTATATCCGAACCGATCTTCACCAAATTTGACATACTAGCTTCTAGACTCAATTCGGTAGTAAGTGTCAAATTTCATCTCATTTGGGCAAATGTTAGACGCTTGGTGCACAATCAAAGGTAAATCGGACGAAGTTATATATGGGAGCTATAGCTATATCTGAACCGATTTCGATCAAATTTGGCATACTGATTTTTAGGTCGAATCTGACCGTACGTGCAAAATTCCATACTATTCGGACTTATATTACACGTTTGGTGCACAATAAAAGTCAAATCGGACGATGATATATATGGGAGCTATATCTAAATTTTGACCGATTATCTTCAATTTCAATAGAGTTCGTCCTTGGGCCAAACAAATGATTTGTGCAAAATTTCATCTGGATAGGGCAATAAATGCGAACTGTACTTTGTTTACAAAAATACATGGACAGACGGACGGACGGACGGACATGCATTAATCGACTCAGAATGTGATTCTATGCAGATCATCAAAAGGAACTATGTGTATGTATCTCGTTTCCTTTTGCCTGTTACAAACAATTACACAAAGACATAATACCCTGACCACCTTGTGGTGTAGGGTATAAAAACACACAGACAAGCATTTTTATGTTCACCACATATCACTAAGAAGAGGTTAGAGTAGCAGAAGGTGGATTGCACAAATTAAAAGTAAGCAATGAATAAAAAAAATAAATCGCTCAACAGACCATATTGGAATAAAAATTATGGTCATATTATCGCTAAAAAATGATGACCATAGCCGTTTTCAATTAAAACAAAAACATTGTCAATTCATTTAATTCAATTCATTTATTAGATATAATATTGAATAAAACTACTGCAATATGTTTCCCTTTGTCAGGGGGTATTTTATTGGACTTTTCTGTTGAAACAAAGTAATTTTTTATACCCTCAGCCATATGGTCGTAATAACGGTTTTAGACCAAAGGTTTCTTTGGACCAAATCCGTTTCGGAACATTTGGAGTCGATCTTCAAATTTCACACATCCCAATAAATTTATAAACCCACCATGTTATATATACATATATATATATATACATATATATATAGATTGAAAGGTCATTATTCACCGGAAATGTTTCAAATTGGGTATTTGAAGTTCGTATTAAATACTACAGTCTGAGACAGAAAATTTATGATTTTTTGATGATTTTAGGTATTTGAAGCTCGTAATGAATACTACAGTCTATACGGAAAATTGTCTGTGCCAGTTCACGTCTTCGTATAGCCCCCATATAACGGTACCTCCCGATATTCGGTTTTTATCAGTTTCGCATTTTAATATTCTAATGGGTTATGACAAATGTTGCCTATTCAGGTCCTCGTCGTCGTATAGACCCTAATATAACGGCTACATTCGATAATTTTAAAATTTCAACAGAATTTTTAACGGATTTGATTTTTTTGGAAAATTGCCAAGTTTGTTCCAAATGTTGGAGGGTATTCAAAGTTCGGCCCGGACTAACTTACAGATTTTTTACTTGTTTTTAAAAAACTAGGTTTTATCGTAATATCGTAATCCTTGACTTGATAGTTTTCTCAGTAAACTTTTCAAGTAGTTCGAAACGAAATAGCAATTCTGATGCACCCATCATAATTTAGTAGAGGGTAAGAATATATTTTTGAAATTTATAAGTAATGTGACAGACATATCGCACCATTCTGCATTTGCAAATTTAGAAATTTATTGCAATATCCCGATGACATTTTCACCGTGAGCTGGGATGTTATGGGAATTTAGTTTTATTACCCATCCATAGTCACGAATTCGAGAAATTTTATAATTCTGATGCTTTGACCTTGAACATAAAAACATATGAATTTTTTTTTTTGTGATAATACTCACAAGGTGAAGCGGGACATTTCTACATTTAAATGGCTTTCAAAATTTCTATAAATAGCCTGGATTTGTGTCTTTTCAAAATCAGTTTGAATTTCGAACGTATAGAAGAAAAACGAAGAAGTTATAGGCCCTCGAAGGAAGAAAAGAAGAGAACTCTGGTGGAAATGAAAATTGTGATCCAACTTTTTTTGCTCTTGGCCACCTTCGCCGCCTTGGTGTGCTCCAATGACGACGACAATGATTTGCTGGCAATAAATCGAAAACACCATCAACAGGTTATGGAGCACTTACGAACCGACTTCGATCCCTGTAGCCAATACTATGAATATGTGTGTGCAAAACGGCAGAGCAGTGATGACGATAATTCGGAAGCCATGAACATGGAAATAAAGGAATATTTGGAAAAGACCCCATTGGAGGAGATGCCCGAATTTGGTAAAGCTTTCAGGGATTTCTTTGAATCCTGTATGCAGGAGGACAAATTTGATTGGTCGAAATTTATACAACGTGTGGAGCAGGAGGAAAATATGAAATGGTCACTATTTCTGACACCGAACAGCAGCAACCGCCATGAGGGTGTGGTTTTGTATTGGCCCTCAACATTGGCCACATTTCGTAAATATGGTTTAAATGATATTTTACTAAGCGTATCTCGGGTATATCGAAATGCCACCAACTTTTGGCTTTACCTGGATAATCCCCTAACACTGGACCTGGTGGAAGACGATGAGAGGCATGAATATCAGCAAGCCATAAAACTTCCGCCAGAAGCAATGATGACATTAGAGGATTTGTGGCCAAGGATTAGTGCATTTGAGGAAGAAGTAGAAAACATTGATTCTCTTCGCTGGAGTGGAGAGGAGGGAACATTTAAATTCAATCAGCTGCCCTATCCTTGGTTACAAAAATACATCGGCACTTTAATGGAATCTCAGGATATTGAGGCTAATGTGGAAATAGTTATTTCTGACATGGCCTATATGAAAGCCCTGGATCGGCTGGTTCGGGAATACGGCAACGATTTCATCTGTCGTTATTTGGAAATACGTTTTATCAAACATTTGGGGATGGAGAACGATAAGCGTGGTTCGCTCAACAAATGTATGTCCTATGCAAAACGATTCATGCCCATGGCCACTGAATGGATCTATGGACAAATACATCCCGAGTTAATTGCCGAAATACCCAAAATCCACGAACATTTTGAACAGGTCCGATACAATATTAACAAAACACTGCACACGCACAACAATGGCATAATAGCCCCCGAGTTTCTTAGGAAATTGCAGACCATGCACTTCAAGGTGGGTAATTTGCCACAAGAAAATACCACGGAGCTCTTGGAAAACTACTACCTGCGTTTGAAAACAAACTCCGGTGATTATTATGGCAACTATTTGAAATTATTGAAATTCCATAGAGATGTGATAGACGACATGTCCGAAAGTTACAAAAACCTCGATAATCTGCAGGCGGATAAGGCATTTTTCTTTAAAACACCCAACATCGAAGCCGAATCCGATATCCATCCACAATATATTGCGAATATGAATCTCTTGATATTACCACTGGGTGTTTTACGACCGCCGGTATACCATGTTGGCTTTGAGAATCTCTTCAAAGTCAGCTCCTTGGACACTCTGCTGGGCGTCAGCGTATTTGCTGCTTTTCCTCGGCTCTATAAGGATCTAAGTATTTATGCGATACCACAAATTGTTGGCATCACAAGTTTACACTCATCGTTTGAGACATTTTTCTCATCCCTACCAGCTGACGAGATGGAAAAGTATCTGAAAATGTTCGATCTGACGTCGTTGCAGCAACTGCAACAGCTGTTCTTTGCCAATGCCATACAACATCAATGCACTTGGCGTTTCTATAAATCGCGTCATGTCAATACTGTTACCAATCACTTGGCCGAATTCATTGAGGCATACGACTGTAAAGCCCTCAAATTGTTGAGAAAGTTTTGAAAAAAAATCATATTTTTTTTATAATTTTAAGAAATAAAATAACAAATTAAACAATACAAAAAAAAAAAAAAAACAAAAACAAATTTAAAAACCAGTAAGTTCGGCCGGGCCGAACTTTGAATAACCTCCACCAAATGGTACACATTTGGCAATTTTCAAAAAAAATAAAATCGTTAAAAATTCTGTAAAAATCTTAAAACTTCAGAATGTCGCCGTATATACGACGACGTGGACCTGCATAGGCACCATTTATCATAAGCCATTACAATATTCAAGTGTGAAACTTGAAAAAAAAAATCTGTTTATAATGTCGCTAAAATCTTCAAAATACCGAATATAGGGCGGTACTATGGGGGTTATAATACGTGGATCTGCACAGAAATTTTTCTGTCATAGGCTGTAGTATTCATTACGAACTTCAAATGCGAAATTTGAACCAATTCCGGCAAATAATGTCGCTAAAATCATCAAAATACCTAATATCGGGAGGTACTGTTATATGGGGGCTATACGAAGACGTGGACCTACATGGCCCATTTTATGTTTTATACTGTATTACCTATAACGAACTTCAAATACCAAATTTTAAACAATTCCGGCGAATAATGTCGGTCAAATCATTAAAATACCGAATATCGGGGGGTACCGTTATATGGGGGCTATACGAAGACGTGGACCCGCACAGACATTTTTCCGGCATAGGCTGTAGTATTCATTACGAACTTCAAATACCAAAATTGAAACAATTCCGGTAAATAATGTCGCTAAAATCATCAAAATACCAAATATCGGGAGGTACCGTTATATGGGGGCTATACGAAGACGTGGACCTACATGGCCCATTTTATGTTTTATACTGTATTACCTATAACGAACTTCAAATACCAAATTTGAAACAATTCCGGGAAATAATGTCGCTAAAATCATCAAAATATCGTATATCAGTAGGTGCGTTATATGGGGGCTATATAAAGACGTGGACCTGCATGGCCCATTTTCTGTCTGAAGCCAAAATATCCATTACGAACTTAAAATACCAAATTGAAAACAATTCCGGTTAATAATGTCGCTAAAATCATTAAAATACCGAATATCGGGAGGTACCGTTGTATGAGGGCTATATGAAGACGTGAACCTACATGGCTCATTTTCTGTCGTAGGATTTAGTATCCATTACGATCTTCAAATACCAATTTTGAAACAATTCCGGTATATAACGTCTCTAAAATCATCAAAATACCAAATATCGGGAGGTACCGTTATATGGGGGCTATACGAAGACGTGGACCTGCACAGACAATTTTCTGTCATAGGTAGTAGTATATATTACGAAGTTCGAATACCAAATTTGAAACAATTCCGGTTAATAATGTCGCTAAAATCATTAAAATACCGAATATCGGGAGGTACCGTTGTATGGGGGCTATATGAAGACGTGAACCTACATGGCTCATTTTCTGTCGTAGGATTTAGTATCCATTACGATCTTCAAATACCAATTTTGAAACAATTCCGGTATATAACGTCTCTAAAATCATCAAAATACCAAATATCGGGAGGTACCGTTATATGGGGGCTATACGAAGACGTGGACCTGCACAGACAATTTTCTGTCATAGGCAGTAGTATATATTACGAAGTTCGAATACCAAATTTGAAACAATTCCGGTTAATAATGTCGCTAAAATCATTAAAATACCGAATATCGGGAGGTACCGTTGTATGGGGGCTATATGAAAACGTGGACCTGCACAGGCAATTTTCTGTCTTAGGCTGTAGTATCCACTACGAACTTAAAATACCAAATTTGAATCAATTCCGGTAAATAATGTCGCTAAAATCATCAAAATACCGAATATCGGGAGGTACCGTTATATGGGGGCTATACGAAGACGTGGACCTATATGGCCCATTTTCAATACCAAAAGTCCTGCAGACATACTACACATTTGAGTAAAATTTTATCAACCTACTTCATTTACTTCGGAAGCTAGAGTGATTTCCACAGACGGATAGACGGACGGACATTGCTACATCGACATAGAATTTTATGCTGATCAAGAATATCTAAACTTTGTGGGGTCTAAAATGTATATTTCGAGGTGTTACAAACGGAATGACAAACTTAATATACCCTCAATACTATGGTGGGGGGTATTAAAAGATGTGTACCCCCCAGCCTTGAGCTATGATTATTCAAATTGGTGACCCTTTATGGAGGAAGTTCCGAAGCAGTTGGCCAATATTGATCAATTCGTATGGGACCTAAGTCTGATATAAATATTGCAATGTGCCAGATTTGGACTATATCGTCTACTTCCTATACTTTATATGAGATATGTGATAATTTTTAGAAAATGCCAATGTGCGTGAGGTAACAGATATGGCGGACTGAAGTATTCCATTTACATACTTCATCTAATATAGATAAAAATATATGGATGTGCATAATTTGAAGGAAATCGAACATTTATATCCGATTTCATGCGAAATCATAAATTTTGATAAAGAACATATTTATATCAGATTTCTGGTTAAGAGAACTATTTAGATATAGGAAGTTGTTTCGCAATTTCTTGTGTGAATAGAAATATTGAGATATAACAAGTCTGCATAAAATCGGATGTTAATTTCGTATTTTATGAGCTGCATGGATATTCAAAATTTTGAAACCTCTGTGAGGGAGGCACCAGAAGGAGAGCGCCGATATATCCCAATTTCACAACAGATCTTGTGTTAGTAGAAATAATGGGATATGTGTAATTTGAAGAGAACCAAATGCTTATTTCGGATTTTCTGATCATTTTGGTTATTCAAATTTTTAAAATTAAAATACCAGAAGGAATGGTCCGATCTATACCATCTTTAAGCAGACCTTGTGTTGACAGAAATATTGAGATGTGCCAAGACTGAATTGAATCGTATGTTAATTTCGCGTTTTAGGAGCTTCTTGGTTTTTAAAAATTTTGAACCGACATTGTTCAATTCGTAGCTGGTGCAAAATTAGGATTTGCAAGCTCGGAACAAGTTAATTATTTTCTTTGAAAATGTTGACATTTTTTGTGGGGGAGGTAACAGAAGGTTTGACAATAATATTACGATGTAGCATTTAAAGTAAAAAAATAAATAAATAATAAAAGAGATCATATTTCAATGCCAAAGCCAAACTCGTACACTTCGTATAATTGAAAGTATTTCTAGACATTAATATTTTGTATGCATTCTTTTACTTTCTTTTATCATTTGCCAAATAGGCTGGCATACTTTTAACAATTTTTTTTGCAAAAAGCTAGGTTCAATTTTTTGCCATTCTTTCAACTTAGCTTTCTTCAAATCTTCTTTGCAAGATATGGTATGCTGGCAGATTTTTCCATCGAGATAGCTCCATAAATTCTCTATAAGGTCTATGTCTGGACTCTGGGCTGACGTATCCCTGACGTAGGGACAATTATATAGCAGCAATGATCGCACTTTATAAGCCTTGTGTTTCGGATCATTGTCTTGATAAAAATCTTGACCAAGGTCGAGCTTTTCCTTACGGATAGGCAAACTTTCTTTCAAAATGTTAAGGTACATAGTCTGATCCATAATGCCCCCAATAAAATGCAATGGACATGGTGTCCAGAGGATGAAAATGAACCCCATCCACACCATTACTGACCCACCATCGTGCTTCACTGTAGACTTTATATTTTTAACAAGTAGTGCTTCATTTGCCTTTCTCCATACAAAATAAGGTCTGCCATCTGAACCAAAAAGTTTGAATTTGCTCTCGTCCGTGAACAGCACATTCTTAAAAAAATGAAAAATCTTTTGATATGTTCTCCAAGCTTACTTCTTGATGTCGATTGCTGCTGCTATGTCTAGCTCTTCTTCCATTGTAATTCAACTTATGCAGTATGTTTCTTATTGTTTGTGGGCAACATACTTTTCCCAATCTTCCTTTTCAGCAAATTTTTGCGAGCTTCCGTGCACTCAAAAATGGATCCATCTTGATCTGCCGTAAAAAATACTTCTCATCACTCAAGGTAAGTATTTAATTATTCGCCGTTTTTGACTTATTTTTCTACACATCCATATGTTTTGACCCGTTTTATGATGTACTGAACTGTAGATCGGCTTCTATTATCAATCTCAAATATCTCACTAAGCGATTTTTGGTTTTTGTAATGTTTAATTATTAAATTTCTCACTTCAACAGAGGTTTGTCCTCATTGTCTTCCCGTTTTTTGTCTGTGCAGGTCCACTATTTCATGTAGCCCCCATATAACGATACCTCCTGATATTCGGTATTTTGATGATTTTAGCGACATTATTTACCGGAATTGTTTCAAATTTGGTATTTGAGATTCGTAATGGATACTACTGCCTATGACAGAAAATTGTCTATGCAGGTCCAGGTCTTCGTATACGCCCCATATATCAGTACCTTCCTATATTCGGTATTTTGATGAGTTTAGGTACAATACCCATCGAAATTTTTTGAGATGTTCTACTTGAAGTTCGTAATGGATGCTGCAGCCTGTGAGAGAAAATTGTCTATGCTGGTCCAGGTCTTCGCACAGCTCCGACGTAACGATACCCTCCTATATTCGACATTTTGATGATTGTAGCTACATTATTCACCGTTTACTTCAAGTTTCGAATTCGAATGTGGTAATGGCTTATGACAAACAATGCCTATGTAGGTCCACGTTGTATAGACTCCAATATAACGGCTATATTCGGTATTTTTAAAATTTTAACAGAATTTTTTTAAGGAAATTTTCCAAATTCGTTCCAAATTGTGGAGGGTATTCAAATTTCGGCCCGGCCGAACTTACGGCTTTTTAACTTGTTACTTCTAATAGGGAGTCGCTTTCCAATCTTAAAAGTTAGTTAATATTTTTTTGATTATCAAAAGGATTCGAAGAGGACTCAGGAAATTGATCTTTTCAAAAACAATCTTCCAAATGATAGCTGGGTACTAACGAATGGTCAACACACACACAATCAATGCG